ATTGCTAACTGACAACATTACACAAGTTTAATCACTTTTTTAATATCATTCAGTACAATTTTACTGACAGCAGGGCCAACAATCAAATTTTAAGATTAAAAATGAAAAGAGAAATTTTCCCCTTCCAGCCAGGAAAAAACAAATTTGGAAAGTATGCAAAATCAAATCTTCAGTATTAGAACCAAATTTTTATTATTTCCTTTTTTATCTAAAGTGAAAAGTTAATTTTAAGACAATTAGTGTTATTTATCCATGCTCTGAATGTTTGAGACTAAGATTTGATGTGGACAGCAATAATGAAACTTTTGTCCAATAATTGTTTGAAAGTAGTCAATAACCTTCTCAGTGGTGTAGCGTACCAAAGGTCAACAATTTGGGGTGTTTCTCAATGCCAAGGAACCTCGCCTTGATCTCTTGGCCTCGCCCCGGTTGCCTAGGAGATACGTCATCAGGGCCGCCAAGACATGTTCCAGTGTTCACGTTCTACCGAGGCGTGTGTTCTCCATTTGTTAGCTGTTTAGCTAGCTGAGCAAGGACACATGGGAGGTGTCTTGTAGCCTAGCCTTGGTCAAATATTACCCAGAATACACAGCAGTATCTTCAAAAGGATGGCGGATCAGAAGCCTGGGGTCTACAGGTTAGATGTCTGAGGTGTGAAGTAGCTCTGAAAAGAGATGTTTTGTCTGTAAATCACTCGCAGCGTCACAGAGAGGCTTTGACTGGAGGTCAAAGGAGATGGTTTCAAAAGAGGCGTCTTTCCCGATCTGGCCGAATTGGGAGTCGGCTGGAAACTGAATTAATCAGGAAGTAATTCTTGTTTTAATAAATTCATTGTTTATAAATTCTGGCACATTCTGGCAAATCAGAATGTGCCATGTCTTGAGGGATTACCAAAACATTTTCAGAAGACACGCCTTGTTTAGATAGAAAGGTGGTAGGCACTTTGTGAATGAGAATGTTTTAACACACTTATGTGAAGTGAATATTACATTATTGAGTATCTTATTGTAATGTGTATTAGTGTAAATGTTGACTAACTTGTTAAATAAAACACGTACTGATCATAAGATCTGAAATGGATCATTGTAAGAGCAATATTAATTTTAAAGCCATCGTGGTTAAAGCACAGATTGTTCTAACATTTGATTTAAACATCTTGTTCATTCAACACATATGATTATTTAAGCTTATGAGTTATAAAGTCCTGTAGGAGCTTCAAGTAGGTTAGAATTTTATTTAGGATGAGAAATCAGCAGTCTGGCTTTTACGCAGAGTCTGCAGGACCTTTGCAGGAGACCTTGACAATTTTGTTATGTCTTGTATGCAAACAAGCAGTGAGCAAAACTTTCTGGATTTGGAAGCCAGATAGATAGTGGGTTTATATCTGCAAATTAAAGGTTATTAATGTGGTCAATATGTAGGTGAAAATTGACCCCTTGGATACATAACATACATAATTATTCAGTTTTGAGTAACTCTAACCTTTTTTAACCTCTGGCAGTTCACCACTTAAATTTGTGCCATTTCAAGCTATTCATTGGACTTAAATGACTTAAGCTGCAATAAAAAACTGGAAATATTTGGGCGTTCTAAAACTTGACTGGTAGCGTGTATCCTTGATTCTGTCTGAATTAATATGAAGTGTATGTTCCCTGAATAGTCCAAAGAACCCAAGGTAATATAAAATCTAATATTCAAAGACCAATCAGATTGATAATTTATATTTATATGGAATATCACATCTTATTAACTCATTCACTGCCAATGACGACTAAAGTCGTCATTTGCATGTTTTTACTGTGTGGGCATCGGAACGAGCCCCCGCACCGTGAGAACAAACATCTCAGCTCTGAAGCCGATCTCCATCCGCATACGTCACACGTCACGTGATCAGGAAGCAGAAAATCCATGAGTTAGGAGATCGTTTGGGATGGCTGCTGTAAAAAAAAGTGAGGCGCGAACTGGAAAAGCTTCTGCCGATCACAATTCAACAACAAATTATGAAAGAACGGATAAAGCACGGATCCTTCCTGATGTAAGAGGTGATTTTCCACTTTGTTTTGGTTGTTTTGGCATCAACATCATCCTAGCGCGCAACGTTCTGTGACTCTTAAAAAAACAGTGAAAACGGTGAGAAACGCTGGCAGTGAAAGAGTTAATCATTTAATAAGTGTAGCTAATCCACCACGCCAGAGGCCTAGTGGTAGAGTGTCCGCCCTGAGACTGGGAGATCAGGGTTCAAATCCAAACCAAAGACCTTAACATTGAGACCCAATACCTCCCTGCTTGACACTCGGCTTTAATGGGTTGGATTGGGCGGTTAAACCACAAAATAGTTCCCGAGCACAGCCAACGCTGCAGCTCACCGCTCCCCACGGAGACGGGTCAAATGCAGAGATGAATTTCACTAGTGTGTGAGGAATTAATGGGCCTTTAAATTTAACTTAAATTTTTTTTTTTAATGTAGCACAAACAGCATCCTGGCATGCACTCTATGCATTCTATGACGCAGTGCTCACTGTCCCAATTCGACAGCTATTTGCTCACTTGTATACTACACACTCGAAGATTTACTACACACTTCTTCCTAGTACACTTCACTGAGGTTTGTATGGTGCACTGCGAGTATTGGGATTGGACCATGGAGATCACCTTTGAGGAGCTCCTGCCTATGTGGCATTGTGATGAGGCCTTATGAAGGCCTGTTTTAATAATAAACTCTTGGAACTCCCATCATGTGTCTGAACCTCCTCCTTATGTTACGGCCCACGAGTTGGGCCGTAACATGTTGCTTTAATGATTATAAAATTCTGTCTTAATTTGAGAAATAAGGCATAAGTCCTTGTAAGTGATACAAGTTGACAAATAAAGCAGAAACATATATATATATATTACATGTTAATGTACTCAGCGATTTAAAGAAGCATACATTGTTTAGGTTAGTTTAAAATTATGCTAAAATGTACAAATAAAATAAGGATTACTTGGGACATTCATTCCACATTTGTGACTTTTCCCTCAGGTGCAGGAAATTCCAAATGCAAAGTGGCCATTGTGATGTGCAGGAGCTCTCAGGATGTTAGCAGCAGGTCAGGGCAACAATCCTGTGGTGACAAACGTTTAAATGTTTTAAAACCTTCATGTTTTACAATTGAGTGATGGTGATGTTGCCCTTGTTGTAAATGTGATTGCTGCTTTGATACCAAAACGACCCTACTGTGGGACAAGATTTTCTATTGTATTCAGTTCTGTAATAAATCAAGACTTCAGGAAGTTAATAGTGAACTTATTTCTTAGGCATGGCCAGCACAGTATGATCCTGGTACCCATGGAAACTCCAGGAGTGAAGCTCATCCGACCTCTCACCGTGTTTGGACAGGACGGTAGGAGTCTGTTATGTCTGCTGGATATTTTCATTGTTTGATAGTTTTTACACACAAGTAAAAAAAATGTATTCAATTTGTGCTCATCCCTGAGTTCAGACGCCATCCATGGCGGCCATTTTGAGGTGCACTTTGAAAATGTGCGTGTTCCCGCATCCAACATCATTCTGGGTAAAAATTCAGTTTCTATTTACTGAAATTAACCTGCAACAGCCTAGAAAGCAAAAGCTAACACTCACCAACACGTTTTACCAATGAGAATTTGAATTTTTCTTCTCATCACTTTAATTTCCAGGAGAAGGCAGAGGGTTTGAGATAGCTCAGAGGCGTCTGGGCCCGGGCAGGTTGCACCACAGTATGAGAGCTGTTGGTTTGGCTGAGCATGCGCTGGAGCTTCTGTGCCAGCGTGCTGCTTCTAGACAGACGTTTGGGAAAAAGCTGCACCAGCATGTGAGTGAACCACAGATTTGTCTGATCTTTAGACTTCCTTCAGGGCTGTGGGTAAAGCATTCAGCTGTTTACACGTCTGTTAACTCTGGTCTAAAGGAGGTCGTTGCTCACTGGATAGCAGAGAGTCGTCTGATGATAGAGCAGACCCGCCTGCTGACTCTTTATGCAGCTCATTCTCTGGACACACTGGGCAGCCGTGCAGCTCGCAAGCAGGTTAAACTGTTACTGTTCTATTCAGCAATATGCCCCGCTGTTATTACAGATTACACAGTTAACCCAGATCGTTAACCATTATTTTCCAGCAGCTGTTGACTTTATAACACCAAGACATTTTCTCTCTCTGCTAGGTTGCTATGATCAAAGTGGCAGCAGCCAGGATGAGCTGTAAGGTGGTGGACATCGCCATCCAGCTCCATGGAGCTGCAGGGGTGTCCCAAGACTTCCCACTAGCACAGATGTATGTTTGCATTTCCCTACACACTAATATGAATTAGAGCTCCTTCTACAGGTCCTTCTCAAAAAATTAGCATATTGTGATAAAGTTAATTATTGTCTGTAATGTACTGATAAACATTAGACTTTCATATATATTAGATTCATTACACACAACTGAAGTAGTTCAAGCCTTTTATTGTTTCTAATATTGATGAAAATCCCAAAATTCCTATCTCAAAAAATTAGCATATCATGAAAACGTTCTCTAAACGAGCTATTAACCTAATCATCTGAATCAACTAATTAATTCTAAACACCTGCAAAAGATTCCTGAGGCTTTTAAAAACTCCCAGCCTGGTTCATTACTCAAATCCGCAATCATGGGTAAGACTACTGACCTGACTGCTGTCCAGAAGGCCATCATTGACACCCTCAAGCAAGAGGGTAAGACACAGAAAGAAATTTCTGAATGAATAGGCTGTTCCCAGAGTGCTGTATCAAGGCACCTCAGTGGGAAGTCTGTGGGAAGGAAAAAGTGTGGCAGAAAACGCTGCACAACGAGAAGAGGTGACCGGACCCTGAGGAAGATTGTGGAGAAGGACCGATTCCAGACCTTGGGGGACCTGCAGAAGCAGTGGACTGAGTCTGGAGTAGAAACATCCAAAGCCACCATGTACAGGCGTGTGCAGGAAATGAGCTACAGGTGCCGCATTCCCCAGGTCCAGCCACTTTTGAACCAGAAACGGCGGCAGATGCGCCTGACCTGGGCTACAGAGAAGCAACACTGGACTGTTGGTCAGTGGTCCAAAGTACTTTTTTCGGATGACAGCAAATTTTGCATTTCATTTGGAACTCAAGGTGCCAGAGTCTGGAGGAAGACTGGGCAGAGGGAAATGCCAAAATGCCTGAAGTCCAGTGTCAAGTACCCACAGTCAGTGATGGTCTGGGGTGCCATGCCAGCTGATGGTGTTGGTCCGCTGTGTTTTATCAAGGGCAGGGTCAATGCAGCTAGCTATCAGGAGATTTTGGAGCACTGCATGCTTCCATCTGCTGAAAAGCTTTATGGAGATGAAGATTTCATTTTTCAGCACGACCTGGCACCTGCTCACAGTGCCAAAACCACTGGTAAATGGTTTACTGACCATGGTAGTACTGTGCTCAATTGGCCAGCCAACTCTCCTGACCTGAACCCCAGAGAGAATCTGTGGGATATTGTGAAGAGAAAGTTGAGAGACGCAAGACCCAACACTCTGGATGAGCTTAAGGCCGCTATCGAAGCATCCTGGGCCTCCATAACACCTCAGCAGCAGTGCCACAGGCTGATTGCCTCCATGCCACGCCGCATTGAAGCAGTCATTTCTGCAAAAGGATTCCCGACCACTAATTATTTTAAGGTTGACTTTTTTTGTATTAAAAACAGTTTTCTTTTATTGGTCGGATGAAAAATGCTAATTTTTTTAGATAGGAATTTTGGGTTTTCATGAGCTGTATGCCAAAATCATCAGTATTAGAAACAGTAAAAGGCTTGAACTACTTCAGTTGTGTGTAATAAATCCAATATATATGAAAGTCTAATGTTTATCAGTACATTACAGAAAATATTGAACTTTATCACAATATGCAAATTTTCTGAGAAGGACCTGTATTATGAATTATTTCCAGGTACTCGTACGCACGGACTCTGCGCATCGCTGATGGACCAGATGAGGTGCACCTTTCCTCCATAGCGTCTCTAGAACTGAAGGATCAGCTGAGAAAGTCTCAGGCTAAGCTGTGAGGATCAAATTCAATGTGACTGGCCAAATTAACTGGAACAATTAGTTTGCAGAATCCAGTTTGGAGCGTTACTAAGAAAAGATAAAATGAGTAAACATGCTGAACTCTAAATTAAGGCTGTTTATGTAGTTTTGTAGATTTAATCTGTGATTTGTTTATTTTACCGACAATTTATACATTAAGGTTGAGGTGGTCTGTTTTGATTTTGGTCGCGTTTTTATTACTGATCTGATAAATCTTTGCCTTTCTTTGGTTGTTTTGTAAATGTGCTCATCATGTGGATGTTAAAATCACAAGTGAATTTCACGCATTTAATAATAAAAACAATTGATACTTGCTTGTCTTTTATTTTGAAGTGCAGAAAGATTTGAAACCACACCTGTGCTGTCAGTTCACTTCCTACAGTGTTGGGAATGTTACTTTAAAAAAGTCATTTGTTACAGTTACAAAGTAACCAATTAGATTACTTGTTACTGAATAAACTAACTGCCGTTAGAAACACTGTTGTATTAAACGCCATCATTCCCATCACTGGCTTCCTATCAATGTTCAGTCAGCATAAAAAGACTAAGGAACTGGGAACTTGAACACATGAGAGGGACTACTCTTACTCCCCATGCAAAAGACAAAGGAAATCATTCTGGAGCTCAGAAGGAAGATAGCTCACGATAATGGGGAAGGCTACTCTGCCATTTTCATGCTATTCAGTGTCTGGAACTGCTGTACATTGCATCATTGCCAAGTACAAAGTGACAAATTCAGTAAGAAACAAATCTGGCCTTGGCCATAAGCACCAGATTTCAAGAACCCCAGAGAGAAATTAGAGATGTCATCGAGGCGCTCGGACATCTGCCGAGATGATTGTTGCTGACCTGGCCTCTTGTGAAGTCAATGATTCAAGGAACACAGTTGTGAGAGCTCATCATTGTGGTGGTCTTCAAATTGTCCCAGAAGAACCCCTTTACTCAAAGGGTTGGCACATCAGTGACCAACTGAGGTTTGCTTGCGAACATTTGAAAAGGTAAAGATGTGATTTGAAAGCCTGTGCTTTGGTCTGATTAGACTAAACTGAAACAGTTTGAGCACATGGATTTTGTTTATTTTTGGAGAAGAAAGGGAGAGGCTGTCAACTCCCAGGGATACAGTTTCCTTAAACTTGGTGGGCGCACCATGCTTTGGAACTGCTTTGCAGCCTCGAGCGCAAGGTGATGGTGGACCAACCGGACATTGTGGTGATGGATGAACTGGGGACAGTCGTTGTGGTTGATGTGGCAATCCCAAGTGATGGTAAGAATGGAGGCTGAAATGTGAATTTACACATACACACACCAAGGAGAAAAAATATTTGACACCTCAGCATCTTTATCAGGGTTTTTTCTAAGTGGAATACTGGCACAAAATTCCACCACATGTCAAAATGATCCCAAGTATTTACTTCATGCAAAGACATCTAAACATTAAATTCCATACACAGAGTTACACTCAACAAAAATATAAACGCAACACCTTTGTTTCTGCTCCAATATTTCTTGAGATGGACTTAAAGATCTAAAATTAATTCCAGATACACAATATTACCATTTCTCTCAAACATTGTTCACAAATCAGCCTAAATGTGTGATAGTGAGCACCTGTGCTTTGCTGAGATAATCCATCCCACCTCACAGTCGTGCCACATCAAGATGCTGATCTGACATCATGAGTAGTGCACAGGTGTACCTTATACTGCACACAATAAAAGGCCACCCTGGAATGTGCAGTTTTTTGCTTTATTGGGGGTCTGGGGACTCAGAACCGGTCAGTATCTGGTGTGACCACCATTCGCCTCATGCAGTGCAACACAGCTTCTTTGCATAGAGTTGATCAGATTGTCAATTGTGGCCTGTGGAATGTTGGTCCACTCCTCTTCAATGGCTGTGCGAAGTTGTTGGATATTAGTGGGAACTGGTACACGCTGTCGTATACGCCGGTCAAGCACATCCCAAACATGTTCAACGGGTGACATGTCCAGTGAGTATGCTGGCCATGCAAGAACTGGAACATTTTCAGCTTCCAAGAATTGTGAACAGATCCTTGCAACATGGGGCCGTGCATTATCTTGCTGAAACATGAGGTGATGTTCATGGATGTACGGCACAACAATGGGCCATCATCACGGTATCTCTGTGCATTCAAAATGCCATCATTAAAATGCTACTGTGTTCTTCGTCCATAACAGATGCCTGCCCATACCATAACCCCACCACCACCATGGGCCACTCGATCCACAACATTGACATCAGCAAAATGCTCACCCACATGATGCCACACACGCTGTCTGCCATCTGCCCTGAAAAATGTAAACCGAGATTCATCCGTGAAGAGAACACCTCTCCAACGTGCCAGACGCCATCGAATGTGAGCAATTGCCCACTCAAGTCTGTTAAGGCAACAAGCTGGAGTCAGGTCAAGACCCCAATGAGGACGAAGAGCATGTAGTTGAGCTTCCCGGAGATGGTTTCTGACAGTTTGTGCATAAATTGTTTGGTTATGCAAACCAATTGTTTCAGCAGCTGTCTGAGTGGCTGGTCTCAGACGATCTTGGAGGTGAACCTGCTGGATGTGGAGGTCCTGGGCTGGTGTGGTTACACGTCGTCTGCAGTTGTGAAGCCGGTTGGATGCACTGCCATATTCTCTGAAACGCCTTTGGAGATGGCTTATGGTGGAGAAATGAACATTCAATGCATGAGCAACAGATCTGGTTGACATTCCTGCTGTCAGCATGCCAATTGCATGCTCCCTCAATGCTTGTGGCATCTGTGGCATTTTGCTGTGAAACAAAACTGTACATTCCAGGGTGGCCTTTTATTGTGGGCAGTATAAGGTACACCTCTTTGGTGTGTTCTTGCTGTGTTGAAATTATAATTCCATCTTTTAGTTCTTTTTAAAACACAGAAAGGTTTTATTTACCTGCAACGTTTCGTTTGCGGCTGCAAACTTCGTCAGGCTGACGCTGATGGTGGCGTCACTTCCTACTCTGTTTATCCGCGGGCAGCAGAGGACGTTGTTGCCCTCTGCTGCCCGCTCTACCCTCTCCAATGATGCAGTCCCATGTGCGATCCAACGAATAAACTCCATCATCCCTGTTCATGGTCCCACATCTACGTCTCCTTATCTCTATAGCTTCTTTTATCCATCTTTTGTATTTCTGTTGTTCGGTGTTTATGATCCTTGTGTTGTCCCAGTCCATTATATGGTTTTCTCTTGTGCATCTCTTGTGACATGTTATGGCTGACTTCTTTATTGTGCTTTCTGCTTCTTCTGTCACTGCTCTTGTCTGTTTTCGACTTTCTCGCACTCCTTTCTATGTTCTATTGTTCGTGTGTTGAGTTGGCGTTCGGTTTCTCCTATGTATGTTTTATTGCAGAGTTTGCATGGGATTTCGTAAACGGCTCCACATTAAAGTCCAGCTGGTATCTTGTCTTTTTCAATTCAATTCAATTCAATTCAAGTTTATTTATATAGCGCCAAATCACGACAAGAGTCGTCTCAAGGCACTTCACATAATAAACATTCCAATTCACAGTTCATTAAGCCAATCAGAAATAATGTTTCCTATATAAGGAACCCAGCAAATTGCATCAAGTCACTGACTAGTGTCAGTGACTATACAGCAATCCTCATACTAAGCAAGCATGCAGTGACAGTGGAGAGGAAAACTCCCTTTTAACAGGAAGAAACCTCCAGAGAATCCTGGCTCAGTATAAGCAGCGATCCTCCACGACTCACTGGGGATCGAGAAGACAGAGCAGGCAGACAAAGACACACGCACGCACGCACGCACACACACACACACACACACACACACACACACACACACAAGTAATGTGTCTATAGTTATATTGTGATGTCTCGGTAAATATTGTATTTGGTGAAAGATAAACTAGTATTAGCACATCAAAAGTCAATGAAAACAAAAAGTTATTATCAGGAGAGAGAGAATGTATTAATGGTTAGCAGCAGTGTGCTAGTCGATGGCCCCCTCCATGAGGCCACCACAGCTCAGCAGAACGTCATTGTAGCTTCTTCTGGGGAGAAAAACACTTACAGAGAAAATAAAGTTAACAGCTGAAATTGCACAAAATAGTACAGTTAAAGAGCCGACTGTAGAATAAAGCAGTACTAGTTGTACTAGTCTGTTTCTAACTGTTGTGTATGGTCTTATTGGTGTGTTTATGTTGTGTTTTTTCATTGTTGCTCTTATTTTTTCTGTTATGCCTTTGATGTATGGTAGGGTTATCACTGGTTTTTGTTCTTGTCTTTTTGGGGTTCTGGTTCTTTGCTTTTGTTGTTTTTTTCTTTCAGTTGTTGTTTGTTGTTTTCCTGCTTTGTTTATTGCCCATGTCGGGTATCCGCAGGTCTTTAAAGTGTGTTGTATGTGTTTGTCCTCTTGTTTACGGTCTCTTTCTTCTGTTGCCATGTTTGCTCTGTGATATAATGTTCTGATTACTGACATTTTGTGTATGGTAGGGTGTTCTGATGTCCATAATAGATATTGGTCTGTGTGTGTTGGTTTTCTATATGTGTTCATGTTTAGGGTCCCGTCTGTCTGTCTGGTTATTTTCATGTCCATAAATGCTATGCTGCCATCTGTTTCTGACTCATATGTGAACTTTATGTTGCCTGTGTCGTCAATGTTATTCAAGTGTTGTGTTCGTGTTTCTGTTTGCCCTTTTGGTATGATTTCTAGTATGTCGTCTACGTAGCGTTTCCATAGTTTTATTTTGCAGTTTGGGGGGGCAGTGGCTATGGCTTTTTGTTCCAGGTCTTCCGTGAAAAACTTGCACAGGGTGGCTGATAACGGGTTACCCATGGCGAAGCCTTCCAATTGTTTGTACATTGTGTCATCGTATGTGAAGTAAGTGGAGTTAGCTACCAGTCCTATCAGTTGTGCTATGTCATCTGCTGTGAGGTTTGTTCTTTTGTGTAAAGTCTTGTCCTGTCTGACTCTGTTAACTACTATGTTTATGGGTTTTTTGGGTTGGTGTTTTTGTTAACAGGGATGTGACGTCATGTGAGATGAGTATGTCGTTGTCTTCTATTGTAATCTCCTTTAGTTCTTTTGCCAGTTTTATGCTATTTTGCAGTGTTGATCTGTGTTACCTAATAACGGACTGATGATTTTGCTGATTTGTCTTGCCATGTTGTATGTTGGTGTACCTATGCTATCTACTATTGGTCTAAGTGGGGTGTTTTGTTTGTGTATTTTTGGCATTCCATAGATTCTTGGTATTATGTTTGCTGTAGGGATCCAGTGATTGTACATTTTTTCAGTTATTTTGCCTTCAGTAATTTTT